ACTTCGACCAAGAACTTGACCATCAATGGCACATGATGGTGCATGGTGATGGCACATGCATCGACCATCATCGGTACAGACTGTCCTTTGGTACGGTACTTGCCTCGACTACTATCAGCACAAGCTGGGCCCTGGTGCAAGCGGTTGCCTCGATCACCATCGACACGCGTTGGCCCAGGGTGCGGGCAGTTGCCTCGACCACCATTGGCAGAAGATGGGCTCTGGTACAGGCAGTTGCCTCGATCACCATCGGCACACGCTGGGCCCTGGTACGGGCAGTTGCCTCGAACGCCATCAGCACACGCTGGTCGATCACCATCGGCCCTGGTACGGGTGGTTGCCTCGATCACCATCGGCACACGCTGGGCCTCGGTGTAGGCGGTTGCCTCGAACACCATCGGCACACGTTGGGCCCTGGTGGGGGTAGTTGCCTCGAACACCATCGGCACACGCTGGGCCCTGGTGCGGGCGGTTGCCTCGAACACCATCGGCACACGCTGGTGTCATGGGCTCTGACCTTAGACTCAGAATCCGTGCGGCCTTAGGCCTGGAATCTCCTCCTTTATGCCTAAGTCAACCTAAAACACAAGCGTGCAGGCACTAGAACAATAAAAAAGGCTGATTACGCAAGTTAAAGAGAAGCAGGATGAACAAGATAGAATTCTGGAAATGCTTTGTATTCACTGAAACATAAGTGTTTGATGGTGTACAAATGAGGGTGGAGCAGCCCTCTATTTATAGTTGAGGCTTTAGCTACAACTTAATGGCATATCCCTAGAATAAAGGCTAAAATCATGGGATTATATGATTACAATCAATCAGGATGCTAACTCATGATTTTCAGGGTCAACCAAATCTGCTAAGATGCTCCTGCTGATCCTGCTACTTCCTGAAGCTTCCCCTGCATGTCCAACACCTTGGGCCCTTCTGGATGTGGTGTGGGCAGCTTGTTTGCCAGGCCTTGGTCTCACGGGCTGGCTTACAAGTCGGGCGGGCCTTCTGAACTCGTTTGCTAGGCTTTACGTGCAGATACCTGCCTATACGCCTGGTCTGCGGGCCTCAACCTCTAGCTCGCCTGTTGGTCTGCTTGATGTGCCTGGCACGCCCGCCCAGGGCGTGACACTAGGCCCTGGTGTGGACGGTTGCCTCGACCACCATCGGCAGAAGATGGCCCCTGGTGCGGGCGGTTATCTTTACCACCATCGATAGAAGATGGCCCCTGGTGCGGGTGGTTGTGTCAAACACCATCGACACATGCTGGGTCCTAGTGTAGGTGGTTACCTCGAACACCATCAACACGTGTTGGGCCTTGGTGAGGGAGGTTGCCTCGAGCACCATCGGCATAAGCTGGCCCTTGGTGCGAGCTCTTGCCTCGACCACCATCAGTAAAAGATGGCCTTTAGTGCCGGCGGTTACGTTGAACACCATCGACATACGCTAGGTCTTGGTGCGTGCGATTGCCACGAACACTATCGACACACGCTGGGCCTAGGTGCAGGCGGTTGCCTCAAGCACCAACGACAGAAGATGGCCCCTGGTGCGGGCGGTTGCCTCAAACACCATCGGCACACATTGGACCCTGGTACGAGCGATTGCCTCAATCACCATCGACACACGTTGGGGCCCTGGTGTGGGCGGTTGCCTTGACCACCATCACCACAAGCCAGCCCTTGGTGCGGGCTCATGCCTTGACCACCATCGACAAAAGATCGCCCCTAGTGCGGGCAGTTACATCAAACACCAACGGCATACGCTGAGTCCTGGTGCAGGCGGTTGTCTCGAACACCATTGGCACAAGCTGGCCCTTGGTGCGGGCTCTTGCCTTGACCACCATCAGCACATGCTGGGCCCTGGGGTGGGCGATTGCCTCAAGAACCATCGGCACATGCTGGGCCCTGGTACGGGCGGTTTCCTCGAACACCATTGGCACATGCTGGGCCCTGGTACGAGTAGTTACGTCGAGTACCATTAGCACACGATGGGCCCTGGTGCTAGCGGTTACCTCGAACACCATCGGCACACGTTGGGCCCTGGTGTGAGCGGTTACCTCAAACACCATCGGCAAACATTGGGCTCTGGTGCGGGTGGTTGCCTCGATCACCATTGGCACACATTGGGCCCTAGTGCAGACGGTTGCCTCAACCACCATCGGTAGAAGATGGCCCCTGGTGCAGGCGATTGCGCCAAACACCATCGACACACGCTGGGCCCTGGTGCGGGTGGTTACCTCGAACACCATCGACACGTGTCGGCCTTGCTGTGGGAGGTTGCCTCGAGCACCATTGGCATAAGCTGACCCTTGGTGCGGGCTCTTGCCTCGACCACCATCGACAGAAGATGGCCTTTGGTGCAAGCAGTTGCATCGAACACCATCGGCATACGCTGGGCCTTGGTGGGTGCGATTGCCTCAAACACCATCGGCACACACTGGGCCTTAGTGCGAGCGGTTGCCTCGAGCACCATTGACAGAAGATGGCCCCTGGTATGGGCGGTTGCCTCGAACACCATCGACACTGCTAGGCCCTGGTACGAGTGATTACCTTAATCACCATCAGCACACACTGGACCCTGGTACGGGTGGTTACCTCAACCACCATCGCCACAAGTCAGCCCTTGGTGCGGGCTCTTGCCTCGACCATCATAGGCAGAAGATGGCCCCTGGTGCGGGTGGTTGCGTCGAACACCAACAGCACACAATGGGCCCTGGTGCAGACGGTTGCCTCGAACACTATCAACACAAGCCGGCCCTTGGTACGGGCTCTTACCTTGACCACTATCGACACACGCTGGGCCCTGGGGCGGGCAGTTGCCTCGAGCACCATCGGCCCAGCACACGCTGGGCCCTGGGGTGGACGGTTACCTTGAACACCATTGGCACATGCTGGGCCCTGGTGCGAGCGGTTACCTCCAACACCATCGGCACATGCTGGGTCCTGGTGCGAGCGGTTGCCTCAATCACCATAGGCACATGCTGGGCCATGGTGCGGGCGGTTGCCTCGACCACCATCGGTAGAAGATGGCCCCTAGTGTGGGCGGTTGTGCCGAACCCCATCGGTACACGCTGGGCCTTGGTGCGGACGGTTGCCTCGAACACCATCGGCATGTGCTGGGCCTGGTGTGAAAGGTTTCCTCGAGCACCATCGGCACAAGCCAGCCCTTGGTGCGGGCTCTTGCCTCGACCACCATCAGTAGAAGATGGCCCCTGGTGCGGGCGGTTGCACCGAACACCATTGGCATATGCTGGGCCCTGGTGCGGGCGCTTACCTCGAGCACCATCGACAGAAGATGGCCCCTGGTACGGGCGGTTGCCTTGAACACCATCGACACACGCTGGGCCCTGGTACGGGTGGTTGCCTCAATCACCATCGACACAGGCTGGGACCTGGTGCGAGCGGTTGCCTCGACCACCATTACCACAAGTCGACCCTTGGTGCTGGCTTTTACCTCGACCACCATCGGCAGAAGATGGCCCTTGGTGCAAGCGGTTGTGTCGAGCACCATTGGCACACGATGGGCCCTGGTACGGGCGATTGCCTCAATCACCATCGGTACAAGCCAGCCCTTGGTGCGGGCTCTTGCCTCGACCACCATCCGCACACGCTGGGCTCTGGTGCAGGCGGTTGCCTCGACCACCATCGGCACACACTGGGCCATGGTGTGGGCGGTTACCTCGAACACCATCGGCACACGCTGGGCCTTACTTCGGGCGGTTGCCTCGAGCACCATCGGCACACGTTGGGCCTTGGTACGAGTGGTTGCTTCGAGCACCATCGGTACAAGTCGACCCTTAGTGCAGGCTCTTGCCTCGACCACCATTGGCAGAAGATGGCACCTAGGTCGAACACCTTCGACGCACGTCGGCCCTTGGTGCGGGCTCTTACCTCGACCAGCATCGGTAGAAGATGGCCCCTGCGTCGAACACCATCAGCACACACCGAGCCTTGGTGTTGGCACATGCCTCGATCTGGTACAGGTGATTGCTTTAACCACCATTGGCACACACTGGCCCTCGGTGCGGGCACATGCCCCAACCATCATCGGCACCTGCTCACCCTCGGTGCGGGATATGCCTATTTGGAAAAAGTGTCCCTGTTTCAGACACTTTAACGTCCACTGGTAGCATATCTGTAAAATCTTTAATGCTCTTTAGGGGGTGGTGGTCCGGTACCCCTTCTCCCCCCCCACGGGAGGAGTAGGTGTGCGTGATGGGCCTCCCATTGCGTACACCCAAGGCAACGTCCCTCGAGTGAAATATAGGGCGTGCATGCCTCCCAACCATTTTGTCCGGCCATTGGTTGCTCTAGTGACCGACAGGCACCCATGGCCTCGATCGGTTGGCATGCATGTGAAAAAAGGGAGATGAGCTCGAGCCGTGCACACGGCGGATGCTACCTTAAACCCTAGACTGAGTCCTTGAATCAAGCAACGGCTCCCTAGGGTGGTGCGAGCAGAAGCTGCGATTGTGGGCTTGGCCCGGCCAGGTCTCTCGATATTTGTCAGTCTCACAGTCCTTTCTCATCGGCCATAAAAATGCCTAGACGCTGACAAGGTTGTGCACACAACCGACGCTGCTTGAAACCCCAAGAACAAGTCTTTGAATCGGGCAACGTCCCCCTATGGTGGTGTCAGCGAAGCTTGTGCGTGTGGTCTCGGTCGGGCCAAGCATTGGTGGTGTTGCTTTGTTGTTGCCTGTCGGATATCAAGGGCAGTCTCGTGGCCCTTGCTCATGTTTTTCTCGTGCCAAGCAGTTGTGGCATGGCCTTGCACCTCATTTCCTCTGCTTGCTCATCGAGTAATCAATCAGGTGGGTTGTGGACCAGCGTGCGTGGATGCTGCCACTTGTACGCAATGGGCATATGAGTGGTGCTATGGTTGTGCGTGTTGGTAGGCTCTGTGCTCGATGCATCAAACTATCGACCCGTCATCCTCTTCAATCTCCCCTCATACGGTCATCGTACCCAGGGGCCACGATCGGGATCCTGTGTTGCATACCTGAATTG